AAGTTGAAACACAAATGTCCTACTATGTTGAACACTGGAAATGGGTCTCCTATCTGGGTCAGTGAGCTGTTGAAAGATGATGGCAATAGCTGGGATGAGGAGTTGATTAACCAATTGTTCAGTGACAGTGATAGAGATGCCATTCTGGAAATTAAATCCCTTGCACCTGAGCAGCAGGACAGATGGAGGTGGTCTTTTGAAAGGAATGGTAACTTCTCGGTTGCAAGTTCTTATAGCCATCTGTTAACTCAGAAAATTCTGCTAATGGGTGTGGCAGAGGGGAGCAGATCAGCTTTGAGTGATAAGAAAGCTAGAGATAGAACCTGGAAACTGAATGTTAAAGGGAAGATTAAGCACTTCCTATGGAAGTGTTTTACAGGGACATTACCTGTGGGCATTAATGTGGCTAAAAAGGGTGTGCAAGTAGATACCATTTGCAAGATGTGTGAGGAGAAGTCGGAGTCCATAGAACATCTTCTCCTATCCTGCAACAGAGCAAGTACAATCTGGAAAATGTCACCATTAGCATGGGAGGAGAAGACATTGTGTGCACCATCTTTCAAAATGTGGTGGTGGGATATCTGTGACTTAGAGAAATCTGACATAGCCGAGGATCGCATGCAATTATCCACGTATATCTTATGGTGGTTATGGCGATCCCGAAACTTATGGATCTTTGAGAAGGTGTGGATGCCGGAAGAGGTTGTGGTTCAAGGGGCGTGGAGAGAATGGCAGGAATTTGTGTCTGTTAAGAGATAGTTGCTAGTGTTTTTTTAGTTTTTTCGGTCGTGTGTTTTTTTCTTGTGTTGTTAGTTGCTTGTGTAGTGGCTTGTAGTAGGGTTACCGAGGGAAAGTTTCGGTGGTTTTATCCCCACTTTTTCTTGTATTTGTTTTGGTTTTTCTCTAGATCACTCTTTGAGTGTATCTCCCATTGTAGTTGTACTCTATCGAACTCTGTTCGGTTTCTTCCTTTTAATTAAACTTCTATCGTTTGGAGAAAAAAAATACAAGAATTACTTGGAAATCCTATTTCACTATGAGGACTTCCCATAGACCCTCCCGGTTATTCCAAAGGGGAGTCGTCAGAATACTATGAATGCTGCAATTAATTATTCCGTCATATGGGCTGACTGTACTGTGTTGAGGCTTATAAAAAATATGTTTATTTAGAGCATTAGTGATTTGTATGAATGCGAGGAAATTCGTATGAACGCGAGGAACTGGCTACTTTTGCTAATTGGATAGTGAGCATCGGAGATAGAACTGTTGGGAGATACATGATGGATGTGCCTTGATAGACATACCTGATGACATTATGCAGGGCAGTCTCCAGAAATTTGGAGGCCCTAGACAATTTTTTTTTTCGAAGTTCCCAATTTGAATTTGTGTGGTAAGCAAAGAAGAAAAAAACAACTAATTCAACATGACAAGCTAAATAAATAAATAATTGAAAAAGAAATAATTTTTCTTGTTTTTCATCAATCCTGAAATATATCTTGGAAATGATAAATTATCTCTGGAGTTTAGAGAGATATTTAATAAATTACATTGAAGCAGTCACGAGGACATTAAGATAAAAAATAAAAAATAATATCACTGAAACTAATTATTCTAATAAAAATTGTTCATACCAAACATCATAAGAAAACAAATGAAGGTTTTCAAATTCACAAACGAATTACATATTTAACCATTAACCTTTTTATTAATTAGCTTCTTCATTTGTGTAGTGGACCAAGTCCATATTTACTCATTAGCCCTTAACTCTTTATTAATTAACATCTTTATTTGTGTAATTGGCTAAGTTAATATTTAGTCATTACTCATTCATTAATTAGGTCACTTCATTTATTTAAATGGATCAAACCCAGCACAAATGCATAATATTAACCAACAAAAAAAAATGTGGCCCCAAATAAATTGAGGCCCTAGGCAAGAGCCTCTCTGCCTCCCCACTGGAGCCGGCACTGACATTATGTAGAAGCTTATTGATGATCCTATCGTTGCAATTGTTGAGAGCACCTATCTAATGTTTAAAGATGCAATCGATTGTCCCAGTTATTTGAAGGATAGGGTTATATTAGCCCCGACGTTGGAGGTGGTTGAGTCTCTCAATGAGTACATGATGTCTTTGAACTTGATTGATGGTCAAACATGCAAATCTGATTCCAATAATGACTTAATTGTCTGATCTCCACACCCTCATACTTTTTAATACTATCAGATGTTCTGGAGTGCCGGTCCATGAGTTGAATCTTAAGATAGGAACCTTAGTCATGTTGTTGAAGAACATTGACCATTTTATGGGGTTGTGCAATGGTACAAGATTGGTTCTGCTCTCTACTTATGTGTTTGAATCTAAGGTATTGACATGATCTAATGTAGGAGAAAAGGTGTTGATATCTCAAATAACCCTAACACCTTCCGACGTTGGAGTGGCTTCTAAATTTCAGTGGCTGCAGTTTTCCTAATGGTTTTCTTATCTAATGACGAATAACAAGAGTCAGAGTCAGTTCTTATCACATGTTGGTCTATTCTTAAAGAAGCTGATGTCAGTTATCGCCAGTTGTACGTAGCGTTTTCTATGTCACTAATCGAAAGGGCTTAAAAATATTAATTTGAGGGGAGGATGGTGTGCCTACAAGGCAAACAAAAAATATTGTCTACAAGAAGATTTTTAATAATATACAAAAAGAAATATATATTCTATTTTCTTAAATTTCTTTATTCACGAATATAATAATAAAGTCAGGTAAATAGCCTTAAAGTTGTTTATTCCGTGCATCGCACGGGTTCTCACTTGTTTGTAAAGGTAATATGATTGATTTAGAAATTCATTTAGGCAACGTACCAAAAAAACATGTGTTTATACCTTCCATACTATTTTCACTAAAAAAAAACTATTTGTATATGTTAAGGTGCAAGCAATTCCGAGTTAGACTTTACTATATCGTGAAGATCACTAAAGCTCGAGAACAATAAATGTAAATATTGGTTTGTATTTTTCTTAGTAATTTGTATTCTCATAGCCAATTACATTTTTGTTATACAAGAGAATTTCACTTCCACCACCAAATTCTTACTTAAACAACACCACATGTTCATGAATAAATAGAGAAAATATAGCATATAAAACAAGTTTTAAGCTTCGGTAATTGTTTTTAAACTTTTATTATGCTAGATGTTTATAATTTTCATGTTCAATACATTAATTATACATAGTAGAGAATTCATTTGACAAAAAGTAATTACATCATCACGTGCACTTTACTAGTTTACCAATGACAGAAACTGGGGGGAGAACGGGTGCGGTTTCACTAACATGAAGCATACCATGAGCGGGAAAACTCATATGAAGCCCAAGTAGGGTTTCATTCCAAAAACTAATTGGTGGAAGGAGGAGTAGTCCATGAGACTTATAAAGTGAGTTTATTTTCCATGTACAAACAATGTGGAATAACTTACAAGTAATATTCTAACAACCAATTTACTAGTTTACCAAAAAGATGTGTGGGGATTGTGTCAAATGTTTCACTTTTACGTGCCAAGTCAAATACTTGAGCATCCCCACATAGGATAAAGTTGTGGTTTGTCTTAGTCCACTTTTACCAGCAAAACAAGTAATCGTCCCCTACACATTTAATGCCCACCATCAAGTGTGGTAAATTCAAATCCTTTTTCTTTATTCTTCTATTTTTCACCTTGCAATGAATGAGCTTAGCTGCCAAACTTTACTCTCCAATTTAGGTAACAAGCAATATTCAACACCATACAATTTGGACCAGATTTTATACTGATAAAGTTACTCATACATTATGTATCTATCTACACTTGGTAATTAATGATGAAATAATTATGAAGTTGAGGATAAACTTATTGTAACAACAAATTTCGTGTATTTAATTTATAAATACGAAAAATATTTCTCAAATGAATTTCTCGAATCAAAATAATATAGCGGTTGTTACATTTTCTATTTTCTCCTCTGATTCTTTTCACGAACAATTTTAAGTTTTGGAGCGAAATCTTCGGCTTAATTTTATCCTTGACTTGATTTGACTTGAATTAACATTAGTCCGAGGATCAACGCCTTGATTTCGGATCAAACGCCTTAATATCCCAAGAACGCGAAAAACACGAGTCCTTGGTCTTCGCCGCATAGTAGATCTTGAATCTTCTCCATGGCGGTTTTGAATTTACTAATATTATTCGGAGGCTTCGTAGCTTGTTTTCGGATTGAACATCTCGTCGAGAGAATTCTCTAGAGCTCTTAAACTTGAATATGAATTATGATGTGTTCTTTGTCTTTTAGGTGTGATTTGTGGTCTTCAAGACATCAATTGATTGGTCCTTTTTTATTTCATATAATCTCTTTCATTATCCTAAGATTTGTCCTCATCATAAGATTTAACTTAGTGGGCAAGAAATATTTACTTATTAATTAAATATCTTTTTTATCTTAGATTTATGTTCAAAAATAAATAAAGACGTTAATTAATAAAATATTAAAATTTTGATTTCTACACCTACTTTAATATTTTCATTCACATCCTAATATGGGTTAGTAAAACCAGAAATCCACACATTTTGATTGGATGTTTACATTTAATTCCTTCTAGGACTAAATAAATTACCATTTATGTTTACCCACGTTAGACTAAACTTGTTATCATTCAAAACTACAAATACCCACCGCAATGTCCCATTAATAACAGAAGTAACCTAAAGGGTCAATTTTATGTTGTTATTTTATAATTCCTTTGGTCTTGCTCATAAATTTCCCTAGTAATTGAAGAACCCTAGACTATACTGATGATAAATTTTTTTCTGGTGCATGGGCAGATGCACATGCATGTGTTGATCATGAATGCAAAACTTAATTACAGCAGCAAATGACCTGTTCTGTTCTCACCTGCAACATGAACAACACTATCTTCTGCATCCTCTTTGCCAGAACTTGACAGTTAAATACAATTTATTTTTTCAACTTTATTTTGATGCTTTATTACATGATTTCCATAACAGGAGAATATGATACAGTCCTTTACCATCCATTGGAATGAGATGACTATAAAAAAGACATACAATGAAAGCTAGAGATGTATATTCTCCATTAAGTAACAAATAAAAGTAAAATAAAAATCTAGAACATACATGTTTGAGTAAATTTCTAGTACAATCAAATGTCAGCTGTGTATATGTATCCTTATTCCTATATTTCAGAGATAAATAATATACCTCAAGTTTGTCTTCCGTTGTTTGTTCAATTTTTGTCCAGACAACAGAAATCCACAATGAGGTTAGAGTTGTTTTACAAACAGCATTGAAACTTCTTCCATTCACTATCATTTTCTTCTCTTGTGACTAAGCACAAAATCATCATCATCATCATCACTATCATTCCCAATTCGCTTTTTTGCCTTCACTTCACCATTTTTGGGAGCTTGCTGTGGCCTCTTTGAGCTCTCGGGTTTACTGGGAATGAACGGTGGTGGGGACTTTATTGGAGTCCCTGTTCGAAGCTGTTTTTGCTTCCTCTGCTTTTTCTCGTACGCCTTTTTGGCCCTCTCAGGTGACAGCATGCCGTGTTCCATTAACCTGCAAAT